TTTTTTGTCTTGTGAAGGTCAACTATGTGACCAAAGTGAAATTCTTTTTCTAAAATTTGGGTTAAGAAGTTCAGTTTTTGTTTCTGAATGTATAATGGCTTCTTTACAATACGTCATTTGCGGATGAGATGGACGAAGACGTCGAAGTACTCGCTATTATTGAAAAAATGTTTAATATGCTGAAAATTGCTTTCTTGATTGGCATTATGTATTTAAAAATTTTTTGTCAACACAACCGTCATCTTAATTTTGTGGGCCGACACTACGGCACTTCCTCTAGTATGACCGAGCATCTACCAAAACAAGTTGAACATATGCAACAACTTTTAAGCATTAGTGATACTATTTGTTTGGAGCAATTACATATGGACCGAAATGCATTTGTACGGTTGCGCTATCTTTTGAAAAATGTCGAGAAGCTAGAAAGCAATAGAAATATTTTCATTAGTGAACAAGTAGCCATTTTCCTAAGCGTCTTAAGTCATCATAAAAAGAACATTGTTGTGAAACATGACTTTAAAGGGTCCGATCAAACCATTTGCAAATTATTTCACAATGTTCTCAATATCGTGCTACGTTTGTACCTGTTACGTTCCATGCAGCAAAACCTATAGACGAGTCCAACAACGAATGGAGTTGGAAGTGGTTTAAGGTAAGTACAGCCTCGTATGCATGATGAAGCATTTCATTAGCAAAAATTAGTATTTGGTGCAAATGTAATATTGATGTGTAATATTTTGTCGAATGCAAATGCGATGCATGTTGTTGGGTGCATTAGATGGTACCCATATTCCAGTACGGGTTCCCTTAAGATTGCACCCTCGGTACAGAAATCGAAAGGGGGTAGTCTCAGTGAATGTTCTTGGGGTTTGTAATGTGGAAATAAATTTTTAGTATGTGTGACCGGGTGGGAAGGATCTTCAGCCAATAGACGGGTCTTAAGGGATGTTGTGCAACAAACTAGTGGTTTGCGGATACGCACAGGTGAGGTGATATTTTCATATCACCATTTGCTTGTAGTTGTATGATGCATAAAGGAGGAATTGATAATGTTAGATCCTCTTTTAGGTATTTGTGAATAACTTTATCTACCATAATGTACTTTTACAGTTGAGCCAATAGCCATAACAAAGGCCCCTGCATTTATGTTAAAAAAAAATGGGAAGAAAAAAAAAAAAGTCCCGATCAAGCGTAACTAGTCATACACTATTGTTTTATATTTGTGTCATCATTGTTGTTTTATGCACTCAAACAATAGTGTGTCCTGCTATTCTTACAAAGCATATAATCTCGAAGTAGTTGACCGTGCATCGCAATGCGGCAAATTTGAATT